CGATGCGGGTCTCCGCCGCGCGGCGGAAGCAGCTCGCCGCGGGCGTGAAGAAAATCGGAAAGGAGGTCCAGCAGGCCGCCACCTCGCTCTTGCACGCGACGGAGCCCGAGCTGCGCGCGAAGTACTTGGCGATCTTGGAGGACCGACGCGGCGCCCTCCTGGACCTGAAAGAGGAAGTCGACCCTATCTAAGACCGGCGTCTTTTTAGGGAGAAAAGGAGGGAGGCAAGGACATCGATTGTTGTAGGGTTGAACAGAGGCTTTTATTTTCTTTTTGGTGTGCGTGCTTGGGGGAACGACGAGAGAGCTCGAAAGCTATGGCGATGCTCTATCCCTTCAGTGCGCAAGGGATTCAAATCTAAGAAAATGGGCTTATTATATCTTTTTTACCCATCATAATAGAAGTAGGTTGAGCTCGTTCCCTCAGTATATATAGTGATATATACTGCTTTTGTATACAATAAAAACACATAATTCTTGACTATTTTATTAACGCATGACGTGCAATTAAGTGCAGGAGTTCCCGAAGTAATCTTGCAGCGTTAGTATTGGCGAAAACTCATTCGCTTTCTTTAAACTCCTTAAAGGCATTCTTAGATATTATTGGTGGCTGCGTTAGTTTTGCTTTCTTCTTTAATACTTGGGGGGAGGGGAGAAAAAAGAGGAAGAGGAGTAAATGGGTACGAAACGCTATTCCTACCACTGAGGAAAAAAAATGGAAACAAAGTGCTAATTACTGGGAGAAAATTGAACCTCTTTTTTTTTAAATAGAAGAGTTAATAATAATCCTATCTCTCCCCCAAGAAATTAGATACCATTTCCGTTTTTTTAATTTTATCTTCCCTATTGGGTGACTTTTCCATGATCTCCAGTCACACGAAAAATTATTCTGAAACTTCGTAGTACCATTTTACATTAAGTGGCCTCTATTGGACAAACTACTCGATTTCTCTCCGTCTTTCAGCCTGAGTTCCCAAGTCAATACTTCACCTTTTCGGATTGAACGACACACATCTTCACCCCATTTGTTCTATTTTTCAATTGGGCACGCCATTTTTTAGATCCCTTTCCCCCCTCCCCTTTTGTTCCTTTCGTCATCCCCGCGAGCTGGCCTTTCCGCCGCATTTTTCCTTCTTTTATCGCGCCTGAGCGGAGGGTCTGGGGGATTGCGATGCAGGCCGAGGCGGCGCCCGCGTCCCCCCCCGCCGCGCTGAATTTCAAGTGCAAACAGCGGCAATACTTCGGGGTCCTGTGGGCCATCCAAT